TTCAATTGTATTTTGTCAAGTAATTTATTTGCCTGCAATGCAAAATAAGTTATCTTTTATTTTGAATTAAAATATCGGTTTGTCTTACCCTCACTTTCAAGGTTTCTATTTGTTTCGCATAAGGACTCAGTATTACAATGTCATCGGCAGTGTAGGCAGCCTTTTCAATTAAATGTTTCGCCAAATTCAAAGTTTCAGTTACCTCAAAATCATTATAGATCGAGCATTCATCCTGAAAGCAAACAAAAGTAATTTTTACATGCAAAATAATAGAAGCATGCAGCAAATCACTTCGAATTATTTGAGATGCAAAATTTACAACAAACTAAACTTCAGGTCTGTTTTTGGTAACCAGCGGGTGCCCAGACTGCTTAATTTCGGTTTCTTCTGTCAGTTCTCGGGCTATTAAGACCCACTTTGAAAGAGTAACCTGAGTTTTCGCTAGCCCGAGGTCGTCCGAACTATTTTTCTGGGTGAGTTTGTCAAACTGCTAGAAGAATTATCCGCTAGTGGGCACAGGAGTCTAAAAAATCAACGGTAATTTTCAGCCACCTGATACTTGTGCATTATCAGAAACTGTGTATGTACTCAAAAAAATTCTAATATAAGTGGCAAACAATATCACTCTGAAATGGCGTGCTATAGATATGACCGATACTGTATGTAAGTATATACATTAGACTGCATTACTCCCCATACAAAAAAAATCGGTACTGTGTTTCCATTGGAATTATAAAATGTATTATACATTAAGACGTCCACCAAAATATTTCGAAAAAATATTAAGATTTTAGTGAGCTGGACCGATTTGAAAATAACTCCAAGATGGAGTTTTTTATGAATAAAAATAGTTTCTTAAAAGCTTTTTTGAAAAAATTCCCTCAAATGACTAAATGGTTTAATCTTAAAAAATTTGCATAAAAATATTTTTAAACAAATTTTAAACGGAATCGTAATAATGAAATTTTTGATGCTGTTTTTTAACTTTTTTCAAAGATTGGTATAAGAAAAACTGGAATAACTGAACCTAAACTCTTTCGATTTAGACTTGTGAGATGTCCATTGGAAACGTGTTTTCTCACACTTTATTTCTTTGCTAATAAACCCATTCAAATGATGAAAAAGAAAGGTAGGATGAACGAACGTCATTCAAAGTTGAGTTAAGATGTGTGGGTATTTGAAAAAAAAAAAAAATTAAAAATTGGGACGGGAATGTCTTTTTTCATATGTATGCATATACCTCTGATTGACATTCGCATTCATTATGGGTGTAAAAATATAAGTCGGTGAGCATATTACGAACTTTTGGATAGTTCTCAACGCTCGCATCATTATTCAGATCAGTGTAAAAAGTCGGTTGAATGAGGTCTGCAATGCAAGGGCGCATACGATATTGTATATTAAGTGTGGCTCCTTTCAGATTGTTAACAAATAGTCGTTCAAATAAGGAAATATTTAATTCGTAGGTGCTATTAAAGCGATGACCCGAGGTGTATGGCTGCAATTGCATATGATCGCCAATCATGACAACATGTTCGGTGTATGGCGTTAAACAGGCCAACACATGTGACTCCAATATTTCGGCAGCCTCTTCGAAAATAACTAAAATATTTGAAAAATTTTATAATATGGGATAATATGTTTTCATTCCTAAAAGCGCTTACCGACTTTACTTTGCAGCAAGCGAAAGAGAAAATTCGTTTTGGCAGCAAAAGTTGAAGTCATAGCTATAACATCAGCTTTTTGTGACGCATAAAATTGGAACATTATTCGCAAAGTTTTTAATTTTTCCGCCACACCATTGACAGCACGTTGAGCTTGTAATAAGCGCTGATACGATTCTTCAGTGCCATCAAAATCGACATGCATTTGCTGTACTACTTGAAACTTAGCCTTAAACTCTTCATTAACAACATAGTAGAGACGCTTTAGACGAGGATTTGCCAATTCTTTGTGGGTAGAATCAAATTGGACATTAAATTTCGAGATTTCAGGCAAGCGAATTTGGCTGCCGAAGCGCAAAATATTGCTGGTGTAGGCCGACAATTTTAACAGAAACTTATCCAACGAATCATTTGTATACGTGATTAAGGCAATAGGTGTTTTGACGTTTTCGATAAGAGTGCGAATTAAATGTACAGAGAGATGTGTTTTTCCAGTTCCTGGTGGACCTTGTATAAGGCAAAATTCTTTGGTCAAAGCTTGGCAATATGCACGCCACTGAGAGTGGTTCAGTGCGAGGTTTTTCGGCTGGGATGGATTTTTAGCCGTCACCTGAAATGGCTCTCTGTCATAATAGTACAACGTTTCTGGTGCAAGGTAGCAAGGTGCATTAACATCTTTCTGAAAATAAAAAAGATATTATATTGCATTATATAATAAGTTAAAGAATTACGAAATTCAAAATGGTAAAATAAGTTTTACCTCATCATCTAAAATGTATCTTTTCATAGGCAGATCACCAGCACCATATATATTCAAGTAGTTGTAAACGTTGTTATATGGTTCAAAGAAGGCCGGCGTTTCAAACATGAACAACTGCCGGTCATACACAGCGACTATGTTCTCCTGTCGTAAAATTTGAATGCCAACCTACATTTAAATTTTATTAAAATAACCTTAAACTATAAATAAATTAATCTTACATATCCTAAAGAAAGAAGTTCTCCATCAGTGTAGGTTACCGTGGCTAAAATAAGATCTTCGAAGTTTTTGCTTGTTGTCAGGAGTAATAATGACCCAACTTTTATTGAAGCGATTTTATCTTTCACTTTGCGTGATAATTTTACCTTAGTGTTGTCCATTGATCGCTTTGTGCCCAAAATGTCTATAAATACCAATTCATGACGCTTGGAATTGACGAAATCGGAGTTAAGAACTATGAATACGTCTTCGTACAACTCTGGTGTGGTACTATGTGGTTTGGAACTCTTTATTTTACAGACATACTCGCGCAAAGGTATCATAAAATCTTCACGAAGAAGTTGTTTTTGTTTCGTCAAATAATCAGCGACTTTATGTTTTCCTAATTTGTTTACCGTATTTGTTGTTTGAAAGTTTTCGCTGTTGCGGGAACGAAGATCATCCAGTGAGGGATATATCTGGAAAAATTACGTATGATGTGCTGAAATATATTTCATTCAATTCGATACTCACCTCAGTTTCATTCAATTTTTCCTCTAACTGCATACCTTTCACAGATAATATGCGATCCAGCTCCAACACTAATTGTTGGCAGGCATGACGTTGTTCAATATCTCGATTGTCACTTTCTTTTATAAGTTTCTTTATATGTGTTATTACGTGGTAAATTTTAGGCGTCATGAGTTCACCTTTGTGTACCCACAAAACTAAGGACTTAATTGCATTTAATATTTCATCTACATCTTCATCACTTTTCCATATCGTTTTGTAGCTCTTTCGAAAAAGTTTAGCGACTATAACTCGCCATTGTTCTAAGAATGCTTCATTTTTCACGAAGTTTTGTAATAGTTCTTCCTGAAAGCCGGGAAGCTCCAACTTGCATATCACATGCCAAATACGTAAGTATAGAAGAACCCGGTCCAAGCCATCGCTAGCCGTTATTTGACCCGCGTAAAAGTCGTATTCACTGGTCGTAACAAATAGAAAAATTTCTAGTGGTTCCATGTTTATTGCTTTACGCATCTCCGCTGTTGGTAGCTTCCTTACGGTAGGTGCTGCCAAAAGTTCCGAAGAAGCTTCAAGTCTTTTTTGCTGTAGGTAGTCATCTACAATAGTATTAAAAATTCAGTAAAAACATATATTGGAAACTGTTCCCTAGACTTTCACCTGCTTCGGACGATCCATGAATATATTCCACTCTAGCATCGGTATTTTTCGATTCATTGTTGCTGACCTTGGCTTGGAAGCTTTGCAAAATCTCTTCTTCATCTTTATTAAACCAATCTTGGTCATCCGAATCCGAATCCGACATTTTACCAATTTTTAAATCCTTTATCATGAAAGAAACATACCAATGGAAAAGGCGGTTTTGGGTGTTAAAACCCCCAGAGACCAACCAACACCGGTGTTACCACTTGATTTTATTTTTAGGTACCACTCACTGCATACACTCACCGCTCTTTACCATTACACTCGCACTGGCAAATTGCCTGTCACCAATAATTTTTTTAAGACGATAGGCATAGGATAGCTTTGGGAAGTGAGTTTTTGTTTGCAAAAATTGTGTGCTTGGAAAAATTTAGAAAAAAAGAAAACTTATACGTGTAAGCAAAGTGAAAGCAATATTTTCAACGTGTAAACGTCAAGTAAGAGAACAAATTTAATGCTCAATTTGATTGCATTTTTAAAACATTTTTGCCTACCAAAAGCTTCATTAAACCAACCAAACTACCAAAAAGAATGAAGCTGCCAATTTTGGTCCAATTGGACCAAAACGGCAACGCTGACCATAACCAAAGAAATATACCCTACATATCGGCTGCGTTTCTTTATACATTCCGGATAATCCCATTTCACAGCCGGAATAAACAGAATGCGTTTGAAATATACGTTAACATATCATCAGGAACGTTCTAAAGAATAAGTAAACAAAAGGGTTTATTCCAAACGTTCAGAATGAATAAAGAAATGCAGCCATCATCTGCGTATGGTTAGAACAGTTGAAATATATAATTAAAATTTTCTTCGTGTTGAAAAATACATACAGTCAACCAAATAAAAACTGAGAGGCGCCATATTAGTAAGTTTTTGCTATATTTCTTTAGTTTATTTAATGTTTATATTTTTTTATGAAAGTATAGCTGATTACCTAACACCATATAAGTCCAAATTTCAGCCTTTGTGCTTAAATTATAAGAATTCTGCAAAAAAAATGATGAACATTAAATAAACTAAAGAAAAATAGCCAATTTTTTCATTTTATTTATAATAATGTAGTGTAGTACATACAACTCCAAGTTATCAACTCTCCAAATGATCACCCTATATTTGAAGTTGCCACATAAAAAAAAATAAGCTATAACACAAATAAACACACTGGGACCTTTCCAGCTGATGTCCGCATTTTTATCATGAACCAACGACTGGTTCATGCATTTTTATCACTAAAACCATGGTAACTAGAACCATCCTTCAATGCTTTTATTAGTTAAGTGAAGTGATGTATGCACATTTTAAGATTGATAAAATACCCAAGTTAATTATAAAATAAATAGCACAAGGCGTCATCATGTACACCAGCATGTCAGAACACAACCGTTTGGTAAATCAGTACCTTAAAGTGTTTTTTGTAGTTGCTCTCTATTGGTAAGCAATGTAAAATATACTGATTAATTGAAGTTAACTGCTCTATCATTTAATGTGGTGTTTGCAGGACGGTCTCCATATGTACTGTTTTTATGAATAAACTACTATTGAGCAGTGACACTGTAAATTTGGATGCTCCTCTGTTTATATGTTGGTTTCAGTGCCTCCTTACTGCGGCGTTGTGCGCCTTTTTGAGCTATCTGGGGCGACGCTATCCAAGTGTAATCACATTTCCAGTAGGCAATCCTTTTGATGTGGACATCTTTCGCAAGGTTGTGTCCAAACTTATTTATTTTAATACATTAATCTTTACTTTGATTTATCATATCTTACTTAGATCTTGCCGTTATCCATTTTGTTCACTTTGATGGTTGCTACGAATAATTTATGCCTTAAATACGTTGGAGTAGCATTTTATTATGTTGGCCGATCCTTAACAACAGTTTTCAATGTAGTACTTACGTATTTATTGCTGCGACAGAAAACGAGCTTCAAGGCAATCATTTGTTGCGTTTTTGTAGTATTTGGCTTCTTATTAGGTGTAGACCAAGAGAGCCTTACAGAACAGTTCTCCCTTCGTGGTACATTGTATGGAGTTTTGGGCTCACTAATATTGGCGTGGTATTCTATCCAAACCAAGAAAGCTTTAGTACATGTACATCAAGAAGTTTTGCTACTAAGCTACTATAATAATGTCTATTCCAGCTTCTTTTTCTTGCCTTTAATCGTAATAAATTGTGAAGTAAGTGCTATCTTAAAGTATGAGCACCTCTTTGCACCTTGGTTTATAAGCGCTATGGTTATTGGTGGATTATGCGGCTTTGCCATTGGATTTGTCACAGTTCTGCAAATAAAGGTAATACAAGTGTAATTTTTGTGTAGTTCACTTCTTACTAGATACCAAACTAAATTATAGCTCATATTCCATATTAGTACCGTCAACACGATTTATTGCATGGTTGTAAGTTCTTTTTGGAAAAATTGTGGTGAGATAGAGAAAAATATTTTTGCAGTTTGACTACTACACTACGTACAAATAAATACCAACGTGTAGGCAATGTTTGGTTGATGTCCTAAAATGACTTTTACCGTGATCTGGTAAGAGTTTCAACTAGGGCCCCCAATGTATACAAAAAGAACTTATCAACATGCAAAAAATAATGAGATTACGTATTTTCGGCTCTAATTTCTAATTACATAATTTGATTTAAATAATGCAGGTAACATCTCCGTTGACGCACAATATATCTGGAACAGCAAAGGCCTGCGCACAGACTGTGATCGCCACACAGTGGTATAATGACACTAAAACAGCATTGTGGTGGGCATCAAATGCGACTGTCTTATTGGCAAGTGCCGCTTATACGCGCGTCAAACAACTGGAAATGCAAAGGCAACATGAACGTAGCAGTACAACACAAAAGGCTTAGCAATAAACTATTGACCAATTATTTTTATAATTTTAAGCATACGCATGCAAGCACACGCGTCCGTAAAATACAATCGACAAAATTTTTAAATACGCGCATTAGTTTTTTATTCTTACAAATAGCATATAAATATTAATACTAAAACCGATCTGCATAAAAATCTAACTTTTTATATCTGTATGTACATTGAAGTATGTATGTATATGTTTATACATATGTATGAATTCATTTTATTTATAAAGTTCTATATATTTATTTCCAATTACCTTTATACATACATTTACGTACATGTAAGAATGTATGTACTATTTAAGTGATTTAAGTAAAAGTGAGTATTAAATAGCTTGCGTGTAATGGATTGCTTTTATTACTCTGATTTAATTAACATTTAATAAATTTAACTTTGGCTCCACTAATTTTTACACTGACATTCATTCATTGTGCTACAACGGCCTTTTGCTTTTCAATATCTTCTTCCTCCAAATTCTCGGCTTCATTTGCTTTCGTAGATGTCTTCGTATAAAACTCGGCAACATATCGGAAAGCATCGATTTTAAGGCGTTCGCTACTCGGTGGACTCTTAAGCAGAACACGCTTTATGAATCGCTCACCCTCACGCTTCGGACGTACAGAATCCACATCTTGTAGTAAAGACCGCAAGTTCTCTTCCAACTGTTCGGTTGCCATTTCTAATGTACCAACACTGGTTGAAATCAACCCGAAATCCTGTTGGTGCTCGTCCTTTGCGGCAGAATAACTAATGCCATTTGAGAAACGCTCAATCATTTCAGCTAGATTAGTGCCCAGCGTTTCGCTTCGCGGATTTGGAAATTTACGTTTCATCAAGCCGCGCAAAGCCACTAACTCCGGTAAAATATTAGGATGTGCTATCACGTATTGATAATCGGTTAGCAAAAGTTCTCCGTTTGTTATATCTTTTATAAGCTCAATGCCGCCCACAAGTGAAGCACCTGCTTCACGTGCTTCGCTGATTTGCTCCTATATTTAAAATTTGTAATTACTTATAAATAATAAACAGACGTAGAATGCACATACATTGCCTTTGGCAAAAACGAGAATTTTACGCTCCTCCCCATGTTCAAACTTATGTGGAATCATAGCCATACGTTGGAAGTTATCCACGAAACGATTTTTCTTCTCTGCTCGCATGTCCAATTCAATATGCACATTGAGCGGAGCATTCGGTTCGTTATACATACTTGTATGATGGGTTTCACGGTGACATTGAATGGCTTCCGCCACAGTATATATAGGCCAGCGGTAATATTTTAATATAAAAACATTATCTTGAGGCACTTGCTTCCAGGAATCGTCAAAATGTAAATTTTCTCGTTGCAAGTTGACTCTGCAAATATTATTGTACATGAAATGACTTAGATTAATATCGTATCATATAAGATGATAACTATTACTTCTTATCCCGTTGGTTATGTGGTATAAACCCCACCTTCTTAACCTCCACTTTTACTTTCTTCTTGCGTGCCTTCTCTCTAGTGCCCTTACGAGCGGCTTCACAAACAGCGGTGGTGTGCAGTTTTCGTATTGTGTCAACACTTTGTTGTCGGACAAGCCAAGTTCTCATGGAGGAAGTTAATGAAAACATACTTGTTTTTATTTAAGAAAATGATTTTGTAATGAAGATTGACAAGAATAAAATTTATTCAATGTACAGGAGCAGTATTGACAATTTTGTCTACAATAAAAAAAACTGCGTTGACAGCTTTCAAAATCATCTGTTTGTCAGTATTGCCATGACAGTTAGGGTTGGGGCGTTTCGTTACATGTTCTAATCGTTTCATGGTTTCGTTCTTAACTTGTTCAATTAACCGGGTCTTTAAACTGAACTAGTGAACTAAATCTTTGATTTTTGTTCTTCTCCGTTGGTCCCGCTATCCCGCGCCCATCTCTAGTGCCGATACCACAGTACCGTCAATTCGTTTCAAGTTTTCTTGTTCTCTTTTGATCTTTTCGTTGCTTCCCATGAAAAGAACCAAGGACTTGAATTCAATAAAACTTGACGCGTGTGGAAGCAAAGAGAAAACACAAAAGAGAATGCGATAAAAATTGCTTTCAAGACTTGACGTGTCTCAAAGGGGAGTATATGAAATTGTATAGTGCTGGTATAGTGCGTGGTAACTTCGTTTTTGTAGAGTTGACGAAAGGTTATTTGTTCTATCGGCAACACTGAAAATCAGCTGTTTTTGGAAGGTTATTTGACATTGGAATTTTCCACTGGAACTTAATGGAATATTTAAATTTTAGAAATTTCGCTCATTTTTTGTTTATAAGCTGGACAAAGTGCGGATATTGTTTTACTTATTTCTGTGCTTTCTCAAAACAAACACGGCTGGCTAAAGTGGAATATTTTGGTAACGAGAAAAAATTGGTAGGAAATAAAAAATAATTGCCGCTAAACAAACAACATTCGATAATAAAAAAGAAAGCTTCAGCGTGGCGTGATTTTCAATCTCAAGAGAAATAGGCTTGCCTACAATTTACATCATCCGGTTGCACTTGTGCATTGAAAATAGAATCATCGTAAGCATCATTCGTAAACAAGATAGGCGTTGCGTCAGTAGCTTGCAATTATTTGTCTTTTTATTAATTTAACAAGCACAATTTGAATAACAATGAATCGTGTGGCTATGGGATCGGTGCGTGTGGCAAGAAGCGGGAATCTCTTAAATGACGCATACGTCGCTGCACCACAATCTGCTATGGCAACGAGTAATGTAAATGTTTCGCACAACAATAACAATCAGTTAAACTTATCTACGAAAGCTCCTCTAATAAATAGAAACTTGACACCGGTTGCTGACAGCGATGCATTGAAAACAAGCAAAAATCCCCAACTGGCCGCCGAGATAGTTAAACAATCGAACGTAGTCTGCTTTGATGTAGACTCGACAGTTATATGCGAAGAAGGCATCGACGAACTTGCAGATTTTTGTGGCAAGGGTTCGGAAGTAGCACGGGTAACAAAAGAAGCTATGGGCGGGGCAATGACATTCCAAGATGCCCTAAATATTAGGCTTAACATTATAAAACCAAGTCAAAAACAGATCATCGACTTTCTGAAACAGCGTCCTCACACCTTAACGAAAAATATTCGATCTCTAGTGGATAAATTCAAGTCAGAAGGGAAAGAAATCTATTTAATTTCAGGAGGTTTTCATTGCCTCATAGATCCAATAGCAGATGACCTGGGAATACCAAGAGATCACGTATTCGCTAACAAATTAATGTTTTATTTTAATGGTGATTATGCCAGCTTCGATACCTCACAACCTACTTCTAAAAGTGGTGGTAAAGCAGAGGCTGTGTCGATTATTAAACGATCCTATCCGAGTGCAAATATTACAATGATCGGCGATGGAGCGACTGATTTGGAGGCTTCTCCCCCAGCAAATAATGTTATTGGTTTTGGCGGAAACGTTCTGCGTGATGAGGTCCATAAACGGGCTCAGTATTATATTATGGATTTCGCCGAGCTTATGTGATAACACGATGAAGAAATACATATCGTCGTTTAAAGTACAAAACCGCGAACAAAGCCTCACATACGCGGTTTTGCATTTTGTTCATACGCGGTTTTATACTTTAAACGACGATATGTATATATGTATAGAACGTATTATATAATTGCATAACTGGGAGCAATTAGTCTAGTGTAAAGATATTGCAAAGTATAAATAGTTATGCTAATAATTATCGAATATAAATAGATACATATTGATATGAAGTTCTGAAGTCTAATGGAATCATTCATAAAACAATAAAATAGATTTATAAAGCGTTATTAAGTGAAATTTTTTGTAGTTTCTACTTTTTAAGCATTATTAAATCTATTTTAATATTGATGAATTTATATGTAATATTTTTATAGTAGAAAGAAATGATTGTTATTAATTCGTATAATAGTAGATTATTTATAAAAGTATAATTCCCTAAAAAAACCAAAAACTAATACTTGATTTGTAATGCCTGGAAATCTGATGGATAAAGCAGTCAAACTAATAAAAAATAGCGCTGAAAAGGGAAATTAGCCAAATGTAAATAACTTTAATGATTGTACAAATAGTTCAATACGGCTTTTGTTAAAAAGTTAGCGTAATACAAAAATTAATACATCTACTAAATGCATGTGATTAGAAAGTTTACAAAATGCCGATTACGTTTTATTTTCGTTATGGAAATACAATGCTGCAGAAATACATATCTGCAAATCTTATATATTTTGTTTCGTTGACAACAGTTTTCGCTTGACAACATTTGATTGTAACGGTGATCCATACTGATTATTATTCAATCAGTTTTGTTTACAAATACATACATACAGTGACGAACAAAAGTATAGGCACAGTGAATTTTTCGCAATATATGCAAAGTTTTATATTCTTATTTATTTTCTATATATATATTTTTTTAATAAATTCAACACCAAAAGCCAAAAAATAAAATCTAAACTTTGAGCAAAACTCGGAAAATTCAATAAATTTGCATACTAATTCGGAACATTCTATTCAGATTTTTAAGACAAATATAAGTATGCAGTTTCATAACAAAGGGCAGGCTTGAAATTGGTAGAAAGTCGCGTTAATTATTGACATTTTTTTCATGCAGGTTCTTCCATAAAAAGTATGTTCGACAATTATTTTTTGTATGGAGAAAATGAGCAACACCTTCCACTAAAAAATTTACAAAAATCACCGCAATTTTCCAGCAAGTTCAAACCTGCACTTCGTTAAACTAAAATTGAATGGGCTATAAAACCACATAGTTAGAATTTTTCAATAGAAAGTTGCACATTAGTAAGGAAATTTATTGAATTTTCCTGAGTTTCGCACAAAGTTTAGAGATTTTATATTTATGGTTTCCGGTGTAAAATGACCTACATTTTTATGAAAACCATTTAGGCCCGGGCAGACGTTGTCCTGCTACACACCGATACATAGGCACGTTATTTGCATGGTAGATATTGTTTTTTACGTTTCATTTGATATCGAAATTTACAAAAGATTGTTATTATTGTTCACTACGTTTGAAAAAAACGACCTCTGGTACGGTTAAAAC